CGCTAGATACAATAGGTTGACTATAGAGATACCCCAGGCCCCTGCTTGAACCCACCAATATTATTCGCATTCAAAACATTAATTCAATGTCAGCTATTGAATATCACTGGAAGGCTTCACGGTAGTTTTTGTACTATGCTTTTCCGAATTTTTAATGACGATTGTGATATGTGTAATATCAGTGCCGAAAAACACTGTGGAGTCCAATGGAGCAACCCCACTAGATCCTATTTTCAATCACCAGCATCCATAGGGACATATTAGTACGGTTCTAAATAATCTGACAAAGTGATTCTACCAGTGATTGAAACGACGAACTTGGCCACAACTTTGTCCAATGTTGAAAGCAGAGTTCTCCCTCATCTATTTGGGTCAACTAGGTTTCGACCCATCTTCAGCTAAACTTACCCAAGATCACTCTGAAGAAAGATAGCTGTATAAATAGTGAGTTCAACAGAGTACCATTGACAGCATACAAAGTACGTATGAAATTCATCGTTAATGCAATGAAGACTGATTGTGACCCGCCTGGTAAAGTATATACTAATGGTTTTACATACCATTCCTTGTTATTCCCGTGACAGTTTTTTCCATGATGTAGTAGAACTTACTAGAGTAGGGCGTGTATCATGGTTATCCAAGTATCCCGATTCTCGAATCGTATGTGTAGGTGCCAGAGAGTTAACCAATGATGGCACCAAGGCTATCAAGATACGAAGTTTTAGCCATACTATCGCGAGATTTTTGATGCTTGGAGATCAAGATTGTAACATTGAGAAAAGATAGAAAGTTTGAGCAAGAGAAAAGTTGTATGTTTGACGTAAAAAGATTTCACTGTTTTTGCAACTGGGAAAGAGCGACGACAGACCAGGAAGGCATCAAAGTGATAAAGTGATGGCACTTGTCATCTGTTACATGAATCAAAATTTGACGGAACGCTGCATTGTTTCCAAGAGAATTGAATGGAGGAAACAAGAAATTCCATACCTTAAATGATCACTGCAGATCCATACAGCTGTAATGATGTGGTACTCTGATATACCGCGAAACCAACTGACTTGCAAATGTATACGAAAGTTCCACAACAGATACCGGATGTATACTTTCTGGTAGTATTTTCCATACTATGGTTTCACTTGAACACAGCTGACAGGTCAAGAGAACAGTCCAGATTGACAGTGGGAGTTTCTTGAACAGAGCCTTAAAACTTTGACTTGTAGATTATTCCGAGGACATCTCGAAAAGAAAATATCAGAGAAGACACAAGCACAAAACTGGCATTGAGTTCGAGAGATCTTGATTTCATCCGAAGTTTTCTTGCTTGCGACCAATCATACATAGCCTTTCGGGTAGTACTGAAGTGAAATTCAACGCGTATGCCATGAGCAAACGGAGAACCATTTAACTTGGCATTTTGTGATACATACGATTGTCAGAATTAGCAAAAATCTGCGAAGTTAGCATTGAACTTTATAGAGTATCAAAAGACAAAAAGAGAGAAACGAGGTCTTGAGAAGAGAAGAAGAGAAGCAGGTTCGTGGAATTCAAGCATACACAATTCAATTTGTTTCCTTTTAGCGATTATGAGGTGTGTGTTCATCGGCACTTTGTCTTAATCACATGACCAAATGAGCCTGTAGCGAATTGAAATCATTAAAAACACCCAAGAAAACTTTAGCTATTTCTTGTCCCATGGTTAATCGATTCATCTTTGGCATAGAAATTTGATGTATATTATAGACGGACCAAATCAAGATCAATAATCTGAGATTAGAATTCACATTCCGTTTATAGTTGGCACGGAACGAAAGTGTTGAGGATATGCATGTATATTAATCATTTTGCGTGATAAGTTCAGTACCCCACTTTTCGGCCACCCCTCTTTTCGGCCACCTTATAAATCTCACCACTCTAACCAACCATTTCTTTTCAATCTTTAATGATTTAATAACCACTAAATCAATTAATTCAAAAATTTGATATATTATCAATTATATTATAAATAATAATTATATTAAAGATAATATTGCTATAACACTTAATATTATAATAGAAGGTATAATTATCAGAAAAGCTGATTTGAATTATAAAATACTCTATACTATTCTTCAATGTTATATAAATGGTTACCTTTCCTATTAAAAAGGTATTCAAAATATATAAAAGATAATTCCAATATAGGAGAAAGTATTAGTTGAATAGATATTAATTCAAAAGACTTTAAGCACTAATTCTATACATTAATAAATACAAGAAATTAACAAAACCCTTCTTAAAATGAAAAATAATAAATTTATATTTGAAAAATAATGAATATACAACTTCGTACTTAAAAACCTTGAAATTCAAATTAAAAGATAAATTAGAATCAATAATCAATATGTTTCAGATATTACTATTAAAATTATTAATAAGTTTTTCGAAAAGTTGAATTTGCTAGCTATTATCCATATTAAATCGAAAAACAAATGAAATATAAATAAAGTTAATATTATAGAAGGCCAAAGCTTAAATGATATAATACTTAGGAGTATTGAAAGATACTTTATTTAAAAGAAATAGTTTAATATAAAAAGTTGAATCTCTTTTATTGAATATATTTTTACTACAAGAAAAGCACTACTACCCTTTATTATATATAAAAATAAAAGTATTCAATAATAATGGTTTTCTATTGAGCTTAATATATATAAGGATTAAAAGTTCTATATTATAGAAAATGGATGGATTATTAATAAAACAGGTCTAGTATAATTAAAAGAGATTTTTATTCCTCAAATTACTCTTTCTGATCTAAAAGAGGTTAGATTATTTGTTTTAGACGAGTATAAAAACCACAAAACCATTCAATTTATACTTAAATGCTTCAAAAACAATATACACCTTTTATTCTTTCCTCTATATATATCATATATATTATAACCTTTTAATTTATTGATATTCTTTTCTCTAAAATATAAATATTAATATAAACTCAATAAATTAGGTTTACTATTTGATTCTATATTTATAAACAAAAGGAATTTTCTTATATACTATTAAAAAGCAAAATTAAAGAGTTTAACTCTGAATAATATTATTTCAAAATAGAGAGCTTCAGATTTATAACCTTAAAACCATATTAAATCTCTTTTATTTAGATTATTACTTGAAAATAACAATAAAGAAGTTCAAAGTCTAAATTCGATTTCAAATAATGATTTTATATTTTAATAAATATAAATTCATTTTTGATTTGATAGGAAATATTACAAAAAGCAAATAATCTATAAAAATATATATTAATATTGAAATCTAAAAAAGAAATAGATTTATATATTCATCAATTATTCTTTCGAAAAATCCAAAAAGTATTGTTACAACGGATTAGTAACAGGCTGTAGAATCACCAACGTATAGGCTATAATGGTACTATAAGCCTCGGTGATTCAGCTGCAGTATACCGGGGGACGCTAGGCACCCAGGAGAGCCTCAGGCACGTATATAGTATTAGTCATAGGATACCCTAGAAACATAGGACATAGTTCCCAGGACAATAGGTCCTAGGAAAGACAGAACACAGTAAGCAAGAAGGCTTCACTAGGATTAGTAATGTCCCAGGGGATTAGCCCCAGGACAAAAGAATAAGCTAGGACACCAAGAGTCACGGGATTAGTGTCCCGTGATGGACAGCTCAGGAACGACAGCGCTCCAGGAGCGCCCGGCTGTCCCAGTGTTACGGGAGCTGCCTCTAGGGTCACGTGGAAGTGGCTAGAGATCTCTCGAGGTGGTTTAGACTAGACTTCAAGTAGGAATTCAATAAGGTTGTAACTGGTTGCAATTCTCGTAACTATAGTAATGAAACTAATGATTGTTCTTGAGCACGAAGCTCTACATTGTAATGAAACCCATTCCCTTATATAGACCTTCGTACTTTGATCGAATCGGCAAGTCTACTCGACTACTCGAGTCGACAAGTCGAATCGACTTTCCTTCACGTGACACTTGTCCTCGTGACCTGGTAAGGTTACCGCTATCTTTAGTTACCCTTTAATTCAACTGTCCCTACAGTGCTGTTTTCGTAGGTCCCAACACCAAGGCCTTAGGTTTATCTTATAATCCATGTTGCGGTGCGGGTACCTCCGTAACACCCAGCTGTCCAAGTAGGACGAAGATCTATATAAGGGAATGGGTTTCATTACAATGTAGAGCTTCGTGCTCAAGATCAATCATTAGTTTCATACTATAGTTACGAGAATTGCAACCAGTTACAACCTTATTGAATTCCTACTTGAAGTCTAGTCTAAACCACCTCGAGAGATCTCTAGACACTTCCACGTGACCCTAGAGGCAGCTCCCGTAACAAGTATTTGATATTAAAAATTATGAAATTATAAAGTCTAAGTATTGAATAAAGGAATTAGAACATAAATTAGAATATATTATATCTAAAAAAAAGAGGAAGGTTAATATTAGCTCAAATTCGAAGTTTTCTAGGATTAAGGCTATATATTAGGCTCAAATCGAAGCTGATGATTGTGAAATTGATAAAATGAATTTCAATAATATATATAAAATTAATGTTACAAAAGATTGTATTATAATTGGATAATTATTGAATTATTGAAGTTTAAAAATTGTATATATATATTTTATGAGGTGGCCGAAAAGTGGGGTACTGAACTTATATCTGATATCTAAGATTACAATAAATACAGTGGTATATTACAACTTGCCAAACCCATTCACCATTCTTCATTTCTCAATCATAAACTCCTATCAATACTAATTAATCAATGCCCCAAAGTTTTTCACCAAACGTTCAACCAATCTTAATGAACTGGCATGTCAAAAGCATCTAAATCATAAATCCAAGAATCAATACTCTCCTGATCATACTGGCACTCCATTGCCGTTCCATTATTCGTCTAGAACGGTCCCAGAGGCCATCCACAAATTTGTTGATTCGATTCCTTATTCGCCCCTTGCAAAACTGTCGCATTCAAAGTGACAGGTGCCATTCAATTCTCTACCCAATCAATGAGTACCTGCAAGTTCGTTTGTGGCCATGGTCCATTAGGTTCTGCTGTATTAACCGCACAATGCGAACCACCTGGTACAAGGAATAGTCGATAGAATTCATTGGTTGTAGCGACAGAATCATTATACGAAAGACCTGGGTTCATAATTTCTCGCACGGATTCGTAGGAGCGAACAGATGAGGCGGTCGGAATACTGTAATCAGATTCACCATGGAAATGAATAATTTTTCCGCCGGCATTTTTGTAGGGGGTGAGATCTGGCCAGTTTGTCAGGAGCACATCATTGTATCGGTTCCAACCATCTTGAATACTAACACCATATTCACCACTGGTGTCGTTATGTGCTGTGGCTGCATCTGTAAAAGTAGAGGAGGGAGTGTATGAGAAATAAGCGCGTCTGCCGTCAGTGATGTGAAGACCGTCGAGGATTTTCTGGGCAACAGCCAAACCTTGGCTGAGATTGAACCATTTTGTGCGGGTGTAGGAGAAGAAAATTGACTTCCTAACGATGCTGGACAAGAGTATAGTGTACCCAAAAGTTTTGAAATGTTAAAGTTCAATGTGCAAAGATCTGTTCGTGAGACGACTCCATCTGTTTTACCATCATATGGCTCGCAAGCAATAATCGTCTCGTTCACAATCTTTTGTAATTCACAAGGCGGTGGATAGTAGCCTGAGTATTCTCCACAACATTTGAATAAAGATGTTGAATCTGCTGGAATGCATATCTGAAAGCCGGTGCACCAATTGCTGCTTCATCGAATTGATTCGCAAATCTTTGAACTTGACTCCACCCTTCTCTACCACTTTCCGAACAACCTTGATAGTAAGAATACAACGTGACATTATTGGCTGTCATATTGAAAATCAATGTAGTAAATTCCTTTCCAATGACACTCATTTCATGGATAGCATTATCTCCAAACATATAGACATTTCGCCAATTAAGTGTTCCACTCGCGAGGAGAAAACCCGAAATGGCATTACTCTGTAAAATTCCAAAACCACCATCAGTATCGCCAGCAACTGCGCCATATTCAATTCCTCCAGGTAATGACTGGGCTCTTGAATTGATGGCATATCCACCACCACCTGTCGAAAGGTAACGATTTTGAAATTTTGCTAGTGCAGGAATCCAGTATGTTAAGAGTACACTGTCATCTAGACCATTATGAGAGTACTTGAAAGTAACAGCACAGTAATCGATCACAGCATTTGGATAAAAAACACTCGATGCTGTGGCATTTGTCACCGTTTTGGCTGTGATGCATGTTGGATCAAGAGTTATCCCGTCATAGAAATCGTCAGCTAGAAAATTGGCTGCGAGATAAGTTGATGTACAGATGTCGGTCAGCGTAAGAGCTTGCGTCAAAGCCGGAAGTGAAGTAATGGCGGTAGCAAGATTTAAAAAAACGCAAATTGATCCCCACCAGGTAGTTCGAACCGTGTGTGGTTAATAAGATGAAGAGAAAGATGAGATGAGGATGAAACACTTCAGTCATCCTCAGTTCTTATACTCGTGAGTTCTCTCGGTCAAGATATTGTGACCTAATCGAGTACACGCATGTAGTCGAAGTTTTGCTACTGTATAGCATCTGCAGGCTGCTTATGGTCCAACCATATCCTGTTCTAGTTCCGGCACCTCAATCCACACAAGAAACCCTAACATCATCCAAAATCCTGAGTTATAGCGGTATTGTTTTGAGCCCCACAAACCAATCACCAACCCCACATTCTCCCAAAGTTCAACAGAACATCGTCGCCATAATCATGCCCACGCGCACGTATTGAAGACTAACTGAGCCCGATGGACATAGAGCTGGTAGGCCGAGCAGTGTGTATGAATCAGTATGATTGGAAGAGTCAGCAAATTGAATCAAGGTGGAGATGAAAAGGCACGATGGCGACTGTATGTGTTTAGCATTATTGATTGAGCGGGATAGCAAACATCGGTGCTTTCGGTACTTATAGCAGACAGCCAAAGCTATCGTTCCAGGTGCGAAGTATTATTCAAGACTTCGAAACTGGTTCAGCAAAAATCAATTGATTCTACGCTGTTTATAAAACAGTACCACCAGTACCTAGTAACTATTTCGTTGGTTTCCAAAGGCTAAGGTTAGACTGAGTTGGGACTAGACTTGCAGAGGTCGCTATCATGTGACTACATGTCAAGTGACACTCCCGTCGAAGTTTCCCATCGTATCTGAACTTCTTTTTCGCTCTCAATCTTCAAAACTTTGTTCTCTTCATCCGAATTATATCTCATTTGATTGAGAGAAGTCTATAATTATTACTTCATAGTCCAATCAAATTGTTTGGGTCTGAACTACAACCTCAGAGTTTTTGTGTTCTTCTTCTCTGCAGCCTCGAATCTGCATTACTACCATCGCCCATGATAGTCAGTTGCTGTAGGCACTACACGCGACATATTAATATCTACTTAGATACTCAAAATTGAGTGGCGTACATACATCTTTCTCATCTCCAAAGCTGTTCCTGCTTGTACCGGTCATCCGTTTATATGTTTCTATCATTTTTTTTAATCATAAACTATATACCATTGTAACTCTCCAAAGTTCTCCATATTTCGAGAAAAAGATGTCTAAGATATCTGAATTCCTGAAGTATGATTGGCTTACATACATTTCAACTCACCATCTCTACACGCGTTAGCCTTTATTCGCGGCTAGCCCCTCTCTATACGCGTATTCAAGCGCCAAGATGCTCGTTCCTCTATACGAAATGCGAGTGCGAATAGTAACTTGTCTTTTGACCTCATTCTTTCATTCTTTTCATTCAAATCACGATACAGAAATGAATAGGACATTGACAACATATTACAACCCTCAATAGAACTCTGGGTCCTAATTTTTCATTATGGATATGAACACAATGTATGATGAGCAAAAGACAGAGTTCTTCTTCTCTCTCATGTCGGATTTTCTGGAGTATGTCAAGACAAGACTTTTACCTTCTTTATGTGCGATTTTGTATTTTTGGGGTGGGAGGAATGATATTACAGCTACTTTGGGTAGCTCTTCTGTTTGTGGGTTTTTTCTTATTTCTGTTCCTGTATCCTGTGGTAAGGGAGTTAGGTGGTATACGGATTGAAAGTCACGAGGTATGTGGAATAGAAGACGTTCTTGTTATCCAGTTAGTTCAACCTGGATATGGAAGATTCTTATGGAGGTTGATCCATCAGTATGGAAATTAACCTCGCCACTGTTGACTTTCATACAGATGTATCTTTTTATCAATTCTGAACCTCTCGAGCTCCCTTTAAAGATACCGTTACCAATCCTCCATCTCCATAATTTGCACTTCCACTTCCGCTTCCCTTCCTTTCCCTTTCTCCCTGCCCCTCACACTTCTAATAAATCCCCAGCACCCCCCTCTCAAAATTGGACCCACGCCCACCACCTCGCTCGCACCTTCGTCAACCAATTAAATATTACCGAAAAATCCAACATAGTAACAGGCACCTTCAACGCCTCTACTCTCGATGGCGAACCCATGTACTGTATCGGCAACATCAGTCCCATCCCGCGTCTCAATTTCACCGGCATTTGTTTGAACGATGGGCCCGCAGCTGTTGCTCGTCAGGATCTCATCAGTGTTTTTCCTTCCGGTGTCACTTTAGCTGCGACATGGGATCGTGACTTGGTATACCAAAGTTACAAGGCGCTGGGGCAGGAATTTAGAGGGAAGGGTACGCATGTTGCTTTGGGGTATGTTTATGTCTCAAATACAACCCGGAAACGTTGTTATCTGGAAAATGAAAACTGAGAAACCCCAAGACCAGTAGCAGGACCCCTCGGTCGTCATCCTCTCGGAGGTCGCAATTGGGAAGGATTCTCACCTGATCCCTATCTCACCGGTCATCTAATGACCGCTTCCATAACTGGCATGCAAAGTGTCGGCGTTCAAACCTCCTCTAAACATTTCATTGGCAACGAACAAGAAACTCAACGAACCAACTCCCAGCTTCCAGACGGAACAAACATCGATGCTATTTCTTCAAATATCGATGATCGAACCCTTCATGAATTATATCTCTGGCCCTTTGCAGATGCAGTACGGGCTGGTACAACTTCAATAATGTGTAGCTATAACCGCATCAATGGAACTTACGCGTGTGAAAATACACATCTACTCAACGATATCCTGAAAGGTGAATTGGGATTCCAAGGCTATGTCGTCTCAGATTGGTTCGCCACACAATCCGGATATCCTGCCGCAAACGCCGGTCTAGATATGGATATGCCCGGGTATGTTTCCCAAAGCGCCATATACACCGGTGAAACTTATTTCGGTCCTCATCTCATCTCCGCCATCCAAGCGGGCAATATGACAGAAGATAGATTAGACGATATGGCTACCCGAATCATGACACCTTATTTCCTTTTCAATCAATACAGTGATTACCCCACTCCAGATCCAAGTCAAACGTACGTATTGGCAAACATGTACGGCTTCGATTTAGGCGCCCAAATTCCCGCCCGAGACGTCCGCACTAATCACTCATCTCTCATCCGACAAATTGGCTCTGCAGGAATCGTCCTTTTAAAGAATGTAAACAATATCCTCCCATTATCCAAACCCCTAAACATAGGCGTCTTCGGCAGCTCCGCTCCCGATCCTACCGACGGCCTTACCTGGCCACAATCAGACCCTTGCACCGGCTTCGTCATCGGCACCCTCGATATCGGTGGTGGATCCGGCTCCGCTCGTCACACCAACCTTGTATCCCCTCTAACCGCCCTCCGAAACCGCGCCGCTACATACGGCGCACGCATCCAATATCTCACCAACAACGCACTCCTCTCCACCTCCTCATTCGCGAGCATCTACCCTACCCCAGAAATATGTCTCGTCTTCCTCAAAACTTTCTCTTCAGAAGGTGTCGACCGAACTTCCTACCCCCTAGACTGGAACTCCACCCTCGTCGTAAACAACGTCGCATCTTTCTGCAAAGGCAACACCATCGTCATCACTCACTCCTCCGGAATAAATACTCTCCCCTTTGCTCAAAATCCCAATGTCTCCGCAATCCTCCTCGCCCATTATCCCGGCGAAGAATCCGGAAACTCAATCGTCGACATTCTTTTTGGGGACGTCAACCCCTCCGGAAAACTCCCCTACACAATCCCCATCCACGAAACAGACATGCACATCCCCATTGTAAATCTCAGCGTCTCCGAAGTCCAAGCCCAGGGGCAAAACGCCTGGCAAAGTAATTTCACCGAAGGACAAGCAATCGATTACCGAGGTTTCGAAATGAAAAATGTAACCCCTCTCTACGAATTCGGATACGGATTAAGCTACACCACTTTTAATCTCACTTCTTCTCCCTCCATTCAAAGCCTCACAAACCAATCCGTTACCGCGCGTCCGGATCCCCTCGCCTCTATCCTTCCAGGTGGAAACACAGATCTGTATACTCCCCTCTTCACCCTCACTACCAGCGTCAAAAATACAGGAACTCGATCCGGCGCCACAATTCTCCAATTGTATATTTCTCTCCCGGAAAAAAATACTCCTGAAGGAACACCGAAGAAAGTTCTGCGCGGGTTTGAAAAGGTAGAGATGGAAAGGGGAGGGGAGAAAGAAGTAGTGTTTGTGGTGCAGAGGAGAGATGTGAGTTATTGGGATACGGAATTGGGGGATTGGGTTGTGCCGGATGGGGAGATAGGGGTTGCGGTTGGGTTTAGTGTGCAGGATTTGAGAGCGAGGGTGGGGGTTGTGGTTAGATAGGATGGGAGAGGAGTGAAGAGGAGGGGGATGGAGGAGGGATAGATGAATGGGGTACGATTTTTTTCGCATCAGTTGTAAGAGTTGAGGCCCCGGCTTATTACACACCATTCTTCTTCGTGATAAAATTCTTGTAAAAATATTATTTTCTTATATAAATTAATTATTTTTATAATTCTTTAACTATTTAATGAATTAATTTGAAAATTGTATATATGAGAAATAATTATATAAAGAATATTTAGTTTAAATAGTTTCTTGAAATTATAAAAACTAGTAAAGTTATAGGTTTTCAAAATTAAAAATTTTCAAAATATAATATATAATACTTTTCCTATACAAAAAAATCATTTTTTTTTAAGTTTTTTAATACTTTCAATTTTAAAAACCTATAACTTTATCCAAAAAAATAACCAAAAATATTTCATTTGCTTTTTTATATCATTTCAATGATTTTCAATCTTATGTATTATTTTCATAAACTTAATTCATAGATTAATTGAATTAATATATAATTTAAAAGTTAAAGAAATGAGGGTTTTTGGTGTTACAGTGTTACGACGACATCTAACATACCGAGTCACCTGATCAGAAAGTCACGGGATTAGAGATTCCCACTGGATCCCACTGCTCCCACCTGGTGGGACACGATGGGATCAATGGGACAACAAGGAACGAAGGTCTATATAAAGAATGGGTTTCATTACAATGTAGAGCTTCGTGCTCAAGATCAATCATTAGTTTCATACTATAGTTACGAGAATTGCAACCAGTTACAACCTTATTGAATTCCTACTTGAAGTCTAGTCTAAACCACCTCGAGAGATCTCTAGACACTTCCACGTGACCCTAGAGGCAGCTCCCGTAACACTTTGAGCACCCTTTCTGCTTCAAGTACTGATTCAATACCAACCGCCAGTATGGCAGCTAACAGTTCTTCCAGAAGCCAACAGGCCCCAGTAAGCAACTTCGATGATGTCGAAATGACTGATGCTTTCAAGAAGATCACCATCAACGAAACACTCAAGATTGCCTTACCAAACAAGTACCAAGGAAGTCGACAGGAACTCGACACCTTCTTATTACAACTCGAAATCTATTTTAGATTCAACCAAGACAAGTTCACCGAAAAGGAATCTAAGAGTATTTGGGCCGTTTCATACCTCAGAGGCGAGGCAGGCAAATGGATTCAGCCATACCTGCGCGACTATTTCGAGCATGACGACAGGGAACGCATGCAACCCACAAGAACCATCTTCGACAGTTTCGAAGGATTCAAGATAGAGATCCGTAGGATCTTCGGAAACTCCAATGAGCTAGAGGTAGCGGAAGATAAGATCTTCAACCTCAAGCAGACAGGATCAGCATTGAAGTATGCTACGGAATTTCGAAGATATGCTGGAACAACCAAGTGGGATGAAACCGCCATTATGAGTCACTATCGTAAAGGACTCAAACCAGAAGTCAGACTGGAGTTAGAAAGATCTGCCGAGAGTGTAGACTTGAACGACCTAATCCAGGACTCCATCGAATCAGATGATCGTCTTTACCGATATCGACAAAGTCAAAGATCATACAAACCCCAGGGAAATCAAAAGCAAGAGCGTTACTGCAAGAATGAGGGAAGACCACGTTACAATCCACAGAGATATGGAGACCCTATGGAACTCGACGCTACGCACCACAAAGGTGGGAATGATGATCCGGAAAAGAAACGAAGACGAGAAAATAACTTATGCTTTGAATGTGGGAAAGCAGGGCATCGGGCAGCAGAATGTCGAAGCAAGAGAACAGGGGGCAAGAAGGGCAACTTTAAGAATAAGTTCGGCAAGGGCCAACTTAATGCCACCTTCACGCCACAATTGTGTGCTGTTAGTATGACAGGGCTAGCCACGCCACCACCAGCTTACGAAGAAGAAGAAGAGGTCGAAGGCCTCTCATGGGTAAACAAAGACCCGCAGTTAGGAGAATCATGGTCTATTCGGGAAATTGACCAATGGAACCGTCGTATCTGGAAATTTGGAGATACAGACGAAGGAACTATGAACGAGGACCTCAGCGTAACAGACGCTGAAGAGGGCGAATCGTATGAGGTTCGGTACGTCGATCAGCATCGAATTCTATGGTTTGGAATCACTACGAACACATCATTCATAGAAAGGATCAGTACCGATCACCTCCAGTGGCCAGACAGAGGAGAGCTATGGGAAGTGTTTTATCACCACACATCTGAAAGAAATGAGAATCAGGTTCTATTTTTATGCAGAAGAGTAGGAAAAGAACACCGGGTCCAGGCTCAAGCCATATTACCACCACCAGTTGTGGGTACGATAATGAAAGTCACTCAAGGGAACTACCGGTACACCCTATGGAGGGATTTACTTGATGACAGAGCTAGATCAGGGACAAGCGCTGTCCATCTAGAAGAGGAAGAGCCTTGACGTGTAACATTTGCCGATGAGATCATCCAGAATAGCGAGAATAAGCAAATTACACCACAGCTAAATGCTACAGGACAAGCAGGACAGATATACTGTAGAGTCAAGATAAACGGACAAATACAACAAGCCATGATAGATTCAGGGGCTACAGGAAACTTTATTGCACCAGAAGCTGCAAAGTACTTGAAAGTTCCACTCCAGAAGAAACAAAACCCCTACTAATTGCAGTTAGTTGACGGACAGCTAGCAGGATCTGACGGGAACGTTTCACAAGAGACACGACCAGTACGAATGAGCATAACCCAACACTCAGAGGTTATACAGCTTGATATTGTGCCATTGGGCCAACAACAGATCATCCTAGGAATGCTATGGTTGAAGGCACACAATCCTAGGATAGATTGGTCACAAGAGACAGTGACCTTTGATCAGTGCAAATGCGGTCAAGGAGACACGCTAGAGGCGTCCGCGAGACGTAACACGCGCCAAGGGGAGTTGAACGCGAACAACTTCGGTGACGTAGGACACCCAGTCCAGAGTCCTCCATTAAGAGCGAAGGCCAGTACACCTCCTCTACAAATGCAGAAGCCAACGACACGACAGGAAATCGCAATCAAGGCAGAAGAGCCTATGATACCAGAACAGTACAAGAAATACGAACATGTGTTCAAGGAACCAGGGATCCATGAGGCTTTACCAGAACACAAGCCATGGGATCATGAGATAATATTGGAGGAAGGCAAGATGCCTGTGCACACCCCAATTTATTCAATGTCAGCCGATGAGCTGAAGACGCTCAGGGAATATATCGATGACAATTTGGCCAAGGGATGGATCAGAGAATCCACGTCCCAAGTGGCAAGTCCAACTATGTGGGTACCCAAGAAGGACGGTACTAAGAGACTAGTTGTGGACTACAGAAAGCTCAACACGCTTACCAAGAAGGATCGATATCCACTTCCATTAGCTACGGAATTAAGAGATCGATTGGGCGGAGCTACAATATTCACCAAGATGGACCTGCGCAACGGGTACCACTTGATCAGAATGAAGAAAGGCGAGGAATGGAAAACCGCTTTTAAAACAAGATACGGGCTATACGAATATCAAGTTATGTCGTTCGGGCTAACTAACGCACCAGCTACTTTCATGAGACTTATGAACAATGTGCTGTCACAATACTTAGACACCTGTTTTATATACTACTTGGACGATATCCTAGTATATTCAAACAACGAGGTCCAACACATCAAAGATGTCAGCAACATTCTTGAAAGTTTAGCCAAAGCCGATTTGCTATATAAACCAAGCAAATGTGAATTCCACATTACGGAAACAGAGTTCCTAGGATTCACCATGTCAAGCCAAGGGCTCAAGATGAGCAAAGATAAGGTCAAGGCAGTGCTTGAATGGAAGCAGCCAAACACCATTAAGGAAGTACAATCCTTTTTGGGATTTGTCAACTTCTACCGAAGATTTATCAAGGGTTATTCAGGGATTACTACACCCTTGACCACATTAACCAGAAAAGATCAAGGAAGCTTCGAATGGACCGCCAAGGCGCAGGAGTCCTTCGAAACGCTCAAACAGACAGTGGCCGAGGAGCCAATACTGTTGACATTCGATCCTGATAAGCAAATCATAGTGGAAACGGACTCCTCAGATTTTGCTATAGGCGCAGTTTTGAGCCAACCAGGTCAAAATAAGAAATAGCAACCAATCGCATTCTACTTTCGAAAACTATCACCAGCCGAATTGAACTACGAAATATATGACAAAGAATTACTGGCGATAGTAGATGCATTTAGAGAATGGCGAGTTTATTTGGAAGGATCAAAATACCCAGTGTAGGTGTTTACAGATCATAAGAACTTGGTTTACTTCACCACAACGAAGCAGTTAAACAGACGACAGGTCAGATGGTCGGAGACCATGGCCAATTACAATTTCAAAATTTCATATGTTAAAGGATCAGAAAACGCTAGAGTCGACGCTCTTAGCCGAAAACCAGAGTACCAAGAAAATAAGTCGTACGAATCATACTCAATATTTAAAAAAGAAGGCGAATCACTGGTTTACAATGCACCACAGCTTGCAGCTACTCATATATTGGAAGACAACCATCTCAGAAGCCAAATCCAATCACATTACGACAAGGATGCTACAGCTATACGCATACGCAAGACAATAGAACCAGGATTCACGATAGAAAACGAGATCATATACTTCCACGGAAAAGTATACATTCCTAGTCAAATGACTAAGGAATTTGTGACGGAACAACATGGGTTGCCGGCACACGGACATCAAGGAATTGCAAGGACGTTTGCAAGAATCCGGGAAATCAGTTACTTCCCACGAATGAGAACGATAGTTGAAGAAGTTGTTGGAAGTTGCGACACCTGCATACGAAACAAGTCATCACGACATGCTCCGTATGGTCAGCTCCAGACCCCAGACATGCCTTCTCAGCCATAGAAGTCCATTACATGGGACTTTGTGGTCAAACTACCACTCTCGAAAGACCCTACTACAGGAATTGAGTACAACGCAATACTCAAT